CTCTCTCTCTCTCTCTCTCTCTCTCTCTCTCTCTCTCTCTCTCTCTCTCTCTCTCTCTCTAGCTCTTACGTTAAAGCAATTGTCATAAATATGTTTTGATGATAAAATAGCACTTTTTCACAGTTACTTAATATTATGCCGTAATTCAATTGATGTATAAATTGCAGTTATACTAATTTATATTAACTATAACTAATTATAATTAACTATAACTAATTATAATTAAATTGTGTTAAATACTAGTTAAATACTAGACGAGAGAGAGAGAGAGAGAGAGAGAGAGAGAGAGAGAGAGAGAGAGAGAGAGAGAGAGAGAGAGAGAGAGAGAGAGAGAGAGAGAGAGAGAGAGAGAGAGAGAGAGAGAGAGAGAGAGAGAGAGAGAGAGAGAGAGAGAGAGAAAGAGAGAGAGAGTGAGAGATCATCAAGTTGCATGTTACAGGCAAAGTCTGCCTCGATTTAAATATATTCAATTCGTATATTTCGCATTATCGCAGTGCTGTTTTGGTTATTTGAAAGATTATGCACAAATATGCTGATTGTTCTTTCAGGTGAAAGACTCTAAGGCCTATTCACCGCAATCGTCAAGCAGACTTTTGGATCTGATCGACACCGCAATCTTTGACTTTCTGATGGACAATGGTGATCGTCATCATTACGAACTCGCACAAAATAATTTCCACAACCCGGCCGTGCTATTAATCGACAATGGGAAAAGCTTAGGTAATCCCGACGTGGATCATCTCGACATCCTAGCACCTCTTTATCAATGCTGCATGTAAGTAGAATCTGTCAAACTATATTTAATATACGATATTCAGGGTTATATATGACGAATATTTGTAGTATTTTTGCATTCCGAAAAGAAATCAGTCATCTCAGACACAATATATTTTTTCTTTTATTAATGTAACATTGGCGGCTAAAAAAAAGATGTATTTCGATAATAAATTGTTTTTGTGTCAATTCCTACCCAGGATTCACAAAACCACGTGGGATAGATTGCGATTGTTTAGTGGCGGTTCTTTGAGTGTCGCATTGGGCAGACTCGTTGCACACGAGGCGGAAGTATCGGATGTTCCTTCGCTCATTACAGAGGCGCATCTAAATGCCATGGACAGGAGATTGCTCACTGTCTACGCTGTAGTGGAGAATTGCCTCAGCAGAAAGAAATACGCTTCCAATGTGATCTTAGATCATCGATAGTTTGCGGATAATTTTTAGGACAGTATCTAATTAAATTTGTAATATATGATTAAACGTAAACGTTTCCCTATAAAAAGCGAGTTTAATTCAACAATATGAACTTTTTGAGAAGAATTAAACATTCTTTTATAAGAAAGTGTACAAAAGAACTTTTTAACAAAGACTTATTTCGAAAAAACTTGATACACGATTAATATCTACAATTTTTTTCTTCTCATTTTCTCGTTGCTTCATTGATTTCTTTCAACATCCTAACAGAGTGTAATTTGTTAATATTATAGTTCCTTTGTCAAGAAACGTGACAATTATCCTTATCGCACGTGCAAGTAAGTGTGAGGTAAAATTAAGCGGATCCGAACACAGATTTGAATGCGATTTATTTGATGACACAATTAATTATCGTTACTTGAGTAGAGAGTTGGAGCGCGGCGCCGGAGTACAGCATATAGTATAAATGCAGTACAAACGTAAAAAACCTGTAAATGCGACTGTATAATCTTGTGTGTATATTATACGTTAACATGCCCGTCGTTGCAATCACATAGGGCATTGATCATATACAATATGTATAGTTTTCGTGATCCCCGCCTTATATCTCCCGCGACCTAAATCGTTCGATCGTTATTCCAAGTGCTGACTATATATTCCACATTTTTCTTACACTCAGAAATTTAAGCTCGTTTTATTTTTAGAAAAGTATGCATCTGGAATATATATATTCCACGACGAAAATTTTAGAGAATGAAATGAAAAAGAAAATAGAATCGATTGTCGTGATGTTAATAAAGGCGATTATACTGTGCGATAGTGGTTTCTAAGAAATAAATATTCATTATATATATCCACATATATACAGTCAAACTAAAAACTGAATCGCCAAATCTATTCATCATTATTACAAAATCTATCGCGGGACATTAACGGAACGAGTTAAGATTTGATTTGAAGTTTAGAAAAGTGCAAGGAAACGATATCGCAAGAGACATTGAGGACCACAAATTTTGAGACTCGATAAATTGAACTTGCGCGCTTAGCGTAGCCTATCTTGCTTTGTGTCTCGTATTTACAACGTTACATGACCAGAATTATTGACGTTATCTTAGTTTAGCTAGAAATTTTCTTTTGTAATACGTATACATACATATGTATATACGTATACATATGTATATATTTAGCGCCATCATCATTCAGGTATGGATGTGTGTGTACGTATATATACACACACGCATACATACATATACATATGTATATACTATTTATATATTATATTATATTAACATTTTTAATTAAATATATATATATATATATATAGAGCTTTTGTAGCAAAGTATGTATAAATAGACTATCTTTTTGCACAGACTTATGATCGATTCCTTTCAACTCGCTCGCTCTTTGCGTTTTGTCACTTTTTTGTAATACGAGCAAAGGTTCGCGACTGTCATTCGTTCTTGAGATCTTTATAAGTCTGTGTCTAGATAATGTTTATCTGAAAAATAGTCGGACGAGAGAGGAATCCCAATTCTCTGAGGATTCCTCGGTTCGAAACCGCTCTTTCTTATCGTTCCGCCATAATACTGTATACATCGAATGACAAAATCGACGAGATGTTCTTCAATTGCGTTTACGCGCTGTCTCGTCGCGAATAAAAAATACGTCCCTCCAAAATATAACCCCGCAACGGCAGTATGGAGATTATTGCATTACGTTCGCGCGTATGCTTCGCGAAAAAGTAATCGAGCGAAAAGAAATTGATAGAACATATTACTCTGTATAAAGAAAAAAGAATTAATTTTCGCTTTAAGGAATTACATTTCCCTTATTAGCGCCGAAATGATTGTTATTACACAGAAGAAGTCGAATAAGAGAATAATTTAAGCGTTAGAAGAAAAATTCACAGAAAATCTGAATGTAATGTCTAGTCTTTGGGAGAATTCTTAAAAAAAAATGTCAATTTCTCTCGTCGTGTCTCTTTTCCGTGAAGCGAAGAATCGTCGTACATTTGTCATCGCCGTTCGTTCACTTAATTACATATCACACTTAAGCGCTGGACGCACATAGAAATTTAAATCTAGGCCAGCTCTCGTAGGCATCTTAAATTCTCCTCTTAGATTATTACGAAGTTGTATTTCGTATCGCGCGGCTTTAAAATATCTAACGCCTTGGAATTTTTCGGAGACTCATTGCGCTTTAGAAAGATTTTAAACGTGCAACTTTATATCTGTCGCAATAAGGTGATCTCGTTAATGTTTAATCGAGATCTCATCTTGTTTGCGAAAATACGGTTTAATGATATTCGTAACTTTCTTCTTCGGCTCTTAATCTTAGAGATGCTTCACTGATAACTTTGTTCGATATTTTGTCTGTGATTAATTTTTATTGTTAATTAATTTCCTTGCTCTAGATCAGTGCTCGGAGTTACTTGCACTTTTGAATTTTAGTCTTCGAGATCTATGCTTACTTTTTATTTCCTTTGTTTCTCCAATTTATTCGTCGAGCTTCGCGCCATTGTCTGTTGCGCGACGTTTAACCTCAGGACCGTCAACTTGATGGACTTAATCTGAGGGAGTTTTCTTAACTTTTAAAAAGTTCTTATTGGAACCAAATTCTATCGTTGTAATTATAATAGAAATGTATTGGTAGCGCGTAGAGAACAAAAAATATTATAACACCCATAGAGAACACGCGTAGAGGACTGATTTCACAACTTGGGGAAAGTCCCCAAGTAGGTCTTATAAAGTCGACGATTCTGAGGCTAACTGCCAATCGTATGCTCGACGGATTAGCAGGAGAGGTAAGGGGAGGGAAGTAAACACAAGCCTCGAAAATGCGAATATTTCTAAGCACTGCTCTGGATTATTCGGCGATCGGAATGATTGCATAATTGCGGGACTTATCGATCCTTATTTTTCTGGTATCTTTAATTATTGAGCGGTCGACACACGCGATAAATGGACCCTTCGGCAATAAGATTCAGAGTGCCGATTCCACTCCTCTCGACGAAGACGTGGAACTGCTTAAATCCTCCGAGTGGCGAGTATGCGACGAATCGAGGGACGTCACAGAGTCGCTGTCGTTGCTGTGGGGACTGGAGTAATTAGCTGCCTCCTGCAGCCTCATCAGCATATTAAGCTATGAATAAACAAGTGATTCATGTTGGATAATGAACTAGAGAAGCAAAAGTTTTTCCACCTAAATATCTCGACGAGCACTCACCAGAGGATCTCCTTCGGTATCGCTGTGAGTACTTCCGAGACTCTTGACGCTGGAAGCTCCCACGCCGGAAGTATGGCCACTAGAGACTACATCGTAGCCTACGTCTTCGGGTCTCAGACGTAGAAGAGCGTCGCTACCACCGTGCACGGCGTGCGTGGACAACCAGGGATAACTGGACGTGATAAACTGCGCTGGGTCTTCCCAAGTGGACTCGCCATTTCCATTGCTGCTAACGCGTCTTCCGTAGAGCGTCAAGCCTTCCCTGACTGTCTCCACTAAGTACGGTATCACCGAGTAGTTCCACAGATCGGTGAACCATACTTGCGAACCGGCCACTTCCATTGGGCAGGACAGGAAGAGCCGCGGTCCTGATGGAGACGCATATTGTTGTAAGGAGAATACAACGGGATTTTGAATGTGTCGTGAGAATATTTCCGATTGTCATACCTATGGTGACGTCTGAGCTGCTGTGAGTTTCTAGGAACTTGTTGAGATGTTGCCACACACGTGGCAGCCACTCGACCACCGCCGCCATTTCCGCATTCCTCGTCCCTGCACACTCTCGCAGTTCATGCTCCAGCAATTTCCTTCTCAGATAACGTCCCAAAAATCCCTTAACTGGCTCCATGTGGTTAGCGCATAACACCCACCTTTGATTTTGATTACATGACTCGACGTATTCAAGAGATCGATGTAGAGTTAATTTTTTATTGTAAAACCGTAGTTTAATAAAAATGGACATACCTAAAGTTATGATGCAACTGTAAATTGGTAGTGCTGCAAGTAGCCTGGCTCATAGTACCAATGATTGCAGGACACGAAGAATGCCTAGTTCCCAAGAGTCCGCTGAATAACTCGCCGAGAGACGCGGCGTGTTGGAGATTCTCTAGAATAATGACTCTCGGCAGTTCGTCGGCGGTATTTGAGTCGCATCTCTCGGCGATGTGGGCGAGATACTGACGTAACTCCTTGCTGGACTTATGATCCACATTGAAGGTTGCGACAGCGGCGGCGTCTTTGGTATCGTTATCGGTGTCCACCAGTGCGTGCGCCAGCTTTCCAGCCAGGTAACTCTTGCCGGTGCCACTCGGACCGCACAGAATCACTCTGCGATGCTCAGTCAGCAGAGAGATGAGTCGTTGAACAATGGAACGTGGTATCAGAGTGTCTACCGCGAGCCAAGAGTAGCCCGACAGCACCAAGTAGATAGTCTTCACGTGGCCGATCAGGTATCCGCAGGGTAACAACTCAGGATGCTGAGAGTCGGTGGTGCATCTACGAGAGGAGGATCATTATTTGAAATGATAGAGGTTTCTCTCTTTACTTCAAGTCGCGCAGTTTTTTTAACCGGTTGAATCGAGAGGAACGACAAACCGGATACCAACCTGGAAGCCTCACCGAGATGATACGCGGCGACGCATTCGACACCGAGGCCCAGGTTCGTCACGGGATCCACTCTGGAGACGTATTCTTTGAAGCAACGTCTCACAGTGGAGTCCAGCGCGTCCCAGCTGGTCTTGTTACTGATACACACATTCGCGATCACGCAATGAGGAGGTTCACCCAGGCTACCGTCGGCGGAACTGCCAGTGACTAGGTTGTAGTTGAAGTTCTTCTCACTGCCGAGATAGACGGCTACATTGATCCTCTTGCCGTCAGTGTCCTGGTCGAGGATCGGTTCCGTGGATGTTGCGCTCGTCGGCACCACAGTGTGTTCCGGCACATTAAGGTCCTCCAATTGATCGGCCGTGGAACTAGCGTCGCCGTTCGACAGAGCCGCGACACTCGACGCTACCTCGGTCATGCTGAAGCGTCGGTCCGGATCGCTAGGTAGCGAAGATTGCGACGAGGTGAGAGACTTGGATGTCACTAACCGTTGCAAACGTTCGTTATTTTGCTTCAAGTTCAACATTTCGTTCTGAAAGAAACATTTGGTTGATCGATCGTGTGTTATTATAGTAAAATATAGTAAAAATATAGTAAAATCTGTCTTGAAAGAGAGAGATTGAGATTCCCTCACCCTCATCTTGATGACTGTGTCCTTCAAGGATTCCAATTGATGCGCCGAGGAGAGCGCCTCGAGTCTAATGTCCGTGAGCACTAGATCCTTTTCCCTCAGTTGTTTCTTTAGCTCGTCCACATCCTCGTCTTCTTTCTTATAGAGAGCTGAGCTACTCTTGCTACCCGACAGAGGATTCTCATGATCCGGCGACTTCTGACCGTTGCTCCGTGTGGTCTCACGTCCCCTCGACGACTCGTGTTTTGAAGCAGTCGGCAGTCTAGGACTGTTTGGAGCGCTCAAATCGCCACCAGCACTCTCCTTGCAGTCTTCAGCGTCCGACACCGAGCCGTGACGATTCTTGCGCGATCTAGAGAACGCTTTGGAAAAGGAGCTGCGTAACCAACCCTTCTTCTTGTGATGACTGCTGCTCGCTGAGCAGGCGCTGCTCAACGAGTTTAAGGATGTTACGCTATCCGCGGACAATTGCCTAGCCATCGACGCACCCTGATGATGATGGTGATTGTTGCTGCTGCTGCTGCTGCTGCCGGTGCAGCCGGTGGTGCCGGATTCGGAATCGCCTAAGGTGTGACGGCGACCGTTGTTGGCGGCTGGACCATTGTTTAATCCGGCTTCAGCGCTCTGTTTACGTAGCCTCTCGATAGTCTCGCGAAGCTCCTGAAGCTCGGAATCCTGGAAAATCGATCAAAATCTCACGCCTAACTTTTTACCTCGGTGAGGTAAGCTCACATTTAGTTCAAATCGAGGAAATTATCATTTTCAGGGTAATCGTTCTCACTTGTCGCGATATTCATCTTACCTTCTTCTCAGCTGTAGCTGTGAGCTGTTGTAGTCTTTGGGTCATATTGGATAATGACTGCTCGAAAGCTGAGACCACATGTGCCTGAAACAGAAACAACAGCCCTTCTTACGTGGGAGTCTTCGGTCATCGAACTCACTTCGATTGCCATCCCGTTACTACGGAGGATTCCCAGGAGAGATTTCTTCAATCGGTTGCGACCTTAAATCTCGATCGCCCGAGTCAGTGCTGTTCTCCATTGTTCCCGAAGATGCAAGCAGTTATTCTCTTTCTTGGAAATATCGCGCGGGCGATCATCAAATTTTAAAGGGATAGCGTCTTTCTCTTTTCTCGCGAAACGAGCGTGGAGTTTCGTCAAGATTGTGGACAAAGAAATCACAGTGGGAGTTGAGAGCAGGATGAGCGTGTGGGTGCAATCCAACAGTCGCGCGCGCGTAATGTAGGAGGAATTATACCGCTCGTAAAACGGTACCAGCGAACGCGAAACACGTGATTAGCTCGTGAGCGTCTCGAGTCCTATTGTCTCTCTTATTATTTGAACACGCGACACGAAATGACTCCCGAGGCGAATAGTCAGGATATTGCGGGTACTTCGGCCGGCCGATGATCCCGGTTGTTGACTTCGATATAGATGTTTTACTGCCCTTAAACCTTGTAAAATAAAAATCGGTTTTACGTTTCTTTTCGCATAATGGTTTACAAAATATCCAACTTCTATAATTATTGTTGCGTACAATTTCAGCATTTTTTTATTTTAACTTATTACAGTAGTAAAGAAAAGTAAAGTATTCGAGGAAAAGTCTCGGTTTCGTCTTGTTTGTACGTCGAGCTTAACGATGGGTCGACCGAGTCGCACGAGGACGAGGCTAAAAACTGGACCGGAAGCCTGCGGCAAAAACGCACGTGCCGAGCAAAATGCATCGTGCGCTCAGTGCACAGTGATGCGCCTTGTTCTCCAGAGAAAACATCGAGTAAACGCCGGTGTTACAAGAAGGACCGAAGCTTGGTCGATATTTTCAAGATTGCGAAAGACATTTTTAGAATGACATCTTCAGAGAAAAAGAAAGAAAAGTCTATATATCGTACATACATAAAGATATAATTTTTACGTCGATATTAAAATTACAAAAATTTTCAGTAGATACACATTGAGAAAGCTTGCGATTATGTTTAGTTAGATGATAGTGAAATATCCAGGCGAAATAGTCACATAGGGAAAAAAGTCGGCTAGAGAAAAACGTGGGATGTGAAAGACAATTTGAGGTGGAGACCTTGGCCCTGAAAATGAGTCCTTGCAACGTTAATTATTAAGTGGGAGATGCTGACCCTCATCCTCCTTTCAGCTCGAGCGATTATACCGAGGCAAGCTGGTGGGAACATTGGGGATAATGTACGTCGTGAACACGGCATAATCTTCGAAGCGTTACGACCCGAGCTAACTGGGCTAACAGTTCCCAGGCCGCAGAAGTGTGATTCTTCTCGGCAAAATGCTACAGGCGGTTTCAACGCTACACGAAAAATTCGAGATGTTGTGAATGTTGTGTGCGGAATAAATTTTGTGCGCGAATAATATACGTTTGTGCACATTTATGAAAGAAAATCACGATCATGAAGAAGCATGTATCGTCTCGATTTGTTGAATAATTTCCAATTCACCGATCTTTATTGACACAAATAAACTTTTTAGTCAATATTTGATAAAAGCTAACAGACATTTCAAACTGATTTATAAAGGAAAGAAAAGTTGAAACCCGCGCTTAGAAGCTACGTGTAACACTTGCAAAAAGCTGCAAAATTTCACAAACCATATCTATCGTATCGCTCTCTTATCGCATCAGCGACTTTCTAGGTTTTTTGACTTTGAGATCGTAAACTTCTCGTAGCTATTTCGCGTTTCTGATATATTCAATCTTGAAACATTGTGTACATCATGCGTGCAGAGATCTCTGGAAGAGAAGGTGCGTTTATAACAAGTCTCGTTGCATCCTGAGCAGCGATTGTGGTAGTTAAAATGTCGCGATGAGCACAATTGACTGTGAAGAAAAATAGCAGGGAAGAAGAGAAACAGAGAGAGAGAGAGAGAGAGAGAGAGAGAGAGAGAGAGAGAGAGAGAGAGAGAGAGAGAGAGAATTAAGAAAATGTGTTCACGAGATAAAGTTGTATTTTATACACGATGTTCGGTCGAAAATGTAGCCGCATAAATTTTTGTTTTGAAAGAATATCACAACGTCCGCCTCAAATCTCTGCGAGAAAAATCGAGTCGTTTTACGACGAGTCGTTTTACGACGAGAATTATGACGCTAGGATTACCTAAGCTTTGGTTTGAGTTTTCCTATCGGCAGAAACGTTTCTTCTTTCTAAGGAAAATATTTTTTCCCGGGAATTCCATCTTTAGAAAACATGAGGAAAACATCATAACTATAATTCTAAAATACGACATAAGTAAGAAGGTTGGCCTCTTTAAAAAGTTCAACATGAAAACAAGGAAACAATTTTTTACCAATACACGTGCGCGTGTATGAGAGCAAATTGTACTCGCTGTTACGTGATTTACGCGATTACGTAAGACACATAGTATCACATTTGCGAGTCCAATCGACAAGAGCCTCTTGTCGTCGGTGTAGGGCGACAATCACAAAGAACGCCGAAGTATGCGCGTGCGTAATTATTCAATCGAGACTACGAGCGGTCGACCCACGCTACATTATGTCGCCTTGTCGTCTTTCTAATGTACCGACGGATTCAATTTCGACGGCTAGGGCTGATTATCGAATTTATTACAACTATATCGACCATTCGTACATCGCCCTATCTTCCCGCAGCAGAATAAATCACATCGGCACATTGCTATAATCGTTCGGAGTCACTGCACTCGGATTGATCCATTTATATGACCCGACGGCGAATAAAATGCGCGCTTCATAGAGAGTAATTACTCTCTTGTTATGATCTTCCGTCGTGTAAATATTGTAAAAATGAGAAAAAAAGAAAAGAAAAAATAGTCGCCTACACGATCAATTTCCTGCGTTTCCAGCTCTCACGTTGGGAGCTATTGACCCAAACTCGCGACGAAGTGAGGCGCGACCGCAATCTCGGCACACCTGTCGGCTGTCCCTAGTTGGCGCGACCCATCGCGTCTAACCCAATTTACCTGCAAGGATGGGCAACTGCGATGCCTGTATTTCCTAGTGGCCAGCTCCCACCAGGGTATCACGTTCTGGACTCCTCGTGGTTTCGCTGGGTCGCTAACTGCGTGTTCGTAAAGCGGTTCCAGGACCGGTGCGTTCCCAGAAAATCTCCTGATGGGATCGGGTTGATCCTTGCTGAGATTCCCCCGCCTGGGCAATGTGGCGAAACCGTCGTGTCGGATTTTATCTTCTCTCTTCTCGTGCTCGAGAAAGCGACACATAGAAAAGTAATCACGTGGCTGCCCAGTGATACAAACAGATCGTTCCATCTGCCCCTTCAATATCATCTCGGTGGCGTCCACTGTGTAAACGTGATCTCGACTTGGGACTCGCGTGAGGTCCTTCTCGTCGATGCTTAGTCCGTGACTAACGTCGGCAGTGCTCGAGCAAGACCTCTGCTGCAAGTGAGAACGGTCGTCAGAGATCCTCTCGCTGTCGAGAATATCCTCGCTAGACTTGTGAAGCGGCCTTGAGCAGATTCTAGGTTTTCTCGAGGGTAAAGTGCCGCATCGACGGTCCTTCAAACGATCCTCCAGTGATCGCGTCTGCTTGACCAAAATCCTCGTCCCGTCAACTGTTTCTCGGTCGACTCGAGAGCGATTCCTGCGAATCGCGCTGGTGACCGATCCCGAGGGATCGTCATCCGTCGAGGACGTGATCTCGTCTTTGGACCATGCGCTTTCGGCTCGGTCGTTGCGCTTCACGTCGGTGGTGACCCCGCCGCTCGTTCTCTCGGACAGACGCTGCGAGTTTCCACTTCTCGACGCGTTTCGCGGCAGACAAGTCTCGGTATTTGGCAATTCCGTCAAGGACTCGCTGATCGCGTACAAGGATTCCGTGGATTTGCTCGAAGAGGCGGTGGTGGACCCGGTCGAGTGTCTGGACGTGTTCTCGATGGAGGAGGATCTGGGCAGTATTTTGGGTGGTAGTTTACCTCGGGAATTTGGCTTGCGGAGATATCCGTTGTCGCTCTTCTCCTCGACGACAGTTGTGTCGTCGACGTCGGTACTGACGACAATGGGCGGCATGGGCGCCATGTCCCTCTTACGGGTATAGCCGAACAAGTTGTGCGATGGATCGTCCTTGGCGATCTTACTGATCACGCCGTACGTTCTCGGATTCGCTTTGAGTTGCTCGTAACTCTTGTCAATCTCCGCGAGGTTCCGGTTGATATCCTCGATGTACTTGGCCGTGGTGCGATAGAGATCGCCGCTGGGAACGTAGTTACCGTCCGAAACGATTATTCGACGCTCGCGTCTGGATTTGGCGAACGCGTTGGGCACCGCGTAGATGGGTAGTCCTCGGTCCTTAGAAATCTCACGTTTCGAACTCTCCAGATCGTTTCTCGAAATTGAATTACTCTTGGAGCATTTCGTAATGTCACTCTTGACATTTCGCGAATCCCGGATGATCGTTAATTCGCTGGAATCACCGTCGTTTTCCGGGAGACGATTGTCGCGCGGATTTTTCAACGAGCGCTTACCGAGACTGCCCTTGTCACGTGAGATTGCCCTGGAATTGTCGCGTATACCAAGACGCTCGATGTCAGAGCGGTTTTCTCGAGTAGTTCTACCGACGACGCAGAACGGCTTCAAGGTAGCCAGATCGTTCCGTGTCGGCATTGTCTCGCAAACTCGCCGGTCGTCGGCGCGTAACTCTTTCCAGCCGTAACGAGCGTAAACTTTGGGTTCCCATCCGTCGCAGAGATTGACGTCGATTCGATGATCCTTACCGCGATTACCGCACACTTTGCTCTCTTTCGCAGATTGAAGATCGTCGCAGGCTTGCCGAACGTCGTTTCTCGAGCTGCTCCCGGACTTTTGCTCCTGTAAGGCATTTTTGGAGAACGTCTCGAGAGTGACTCTTCGCGATTCCTCAAGATCTCGCGACTTGCCG